AACAAAGACTGGTGACTGACTGGGAGAACTAGAAGCTGATCTGGGGAGTCCAAAAACTACTGTGTCTGAGATTCTGATGCAGGATCTTGGCATGAAACGTGTCATGGCAAAATTTGTTCTGTGGCTTCTGCTACCAGAGTAGAAGGAACATTGTGCTGCAGTTGCTAATGACTTGATTCAAACTGCTACTAACAAACAAGATTTCCTCAAGAAGGTCATAACCAGAGATGAATTGTGGGTCTATGGCTGTGGTCTGGAAATGAAAGCCCAGTCATCCCAATGGAAGTCGTCTGGTTCTCCATGACCAAAGGCAGCACAGCAAAGTCACAGCAAGATCAAGACCACGTTAACTGTGTTTTTTTTTGATTGGGACGCTGTTGTCCATCACAAGTATGCCCCTCCAGGCCAAACAATCAATAAGTACTACCTCAATGTTCTTCATCAATTGAGAAATTCAATATGACAAAAATGGTAGAAGCTATGGGCAAGTGGTGATGGGCACCTTTATCACAACAATGTACCCTCTCATGCATCACATCTTCTGCAGAGTTTTTTGGTGAAACATCAAATCATCCAGGTAACTCAGCACCCCCACAGCCCAGATTTGGTGCCCTGCAACACCTTTGAAAGGCAAGAGATTTCAGATTGTTAGCGAGATTCAGGAAAATGAAGTGAGGCAGCTGGTGGCTATTCCAATAAAGGATTTTGCAGAGTATTTTGAACAATGGAAGAGATGCTGGGAGAACTCTGTGAGGTCCCAAGGTGTCTACTTTGAATGGGACTGAGGCGTCATTGTCCTATGTGTTTTGTATCTTCTTCACTAGAGGTCTCTATTTTTCATATTACATGGCTGGGCTATATACCTTCTGGACATCTCATATAACTAAAATAGAGGTCACCCCTACCTCCCTCACCTGAGTCAGACCTCTACCCTGTTTCCAATTTCTTTTAAGAATTTTGTTACTAATTAAGTCATTTAGACTCAACTGCTATAAAAACAATAACAGCTAATACTGAGCATGCATTCCGGTTATTGTGCTAAGCATTTAGATTTCATACATTTAATCCTCTCAACAACCCTATGAGGAAGGTACAATTAATAACCACATTTTATAGATGAGGAAATTGAGGCTTATATAAATGGCTGAAGGTGACACCTTAGCATCATCTTTCATTGCTCTTCTTCACCCTCCGTAGATCATGAATCACCAAGTCTTCTCAATTTCCCCTCTGTGCATATTTGTTGCTTTCTTTCCATGTCCATTACCACTGTACCAGTCTTGCCCCTCCTCCCTTTTTAACACTCACCCAAGGACATGCTTATTGATTTTAAATAGAGGGAGAGGGAGAAAGAGAGGTAGAGAAACACTGATCAATTTCCTTTTGTATGTGCCCCAAATGGGCATCGAACCGGCAACCTAGGCATGTGCCCTAACTGGGAATCGAACCCACTGCCTTTTGGTTTACGGGAGGATGCTGCAAACAACTGAGCCAGAACAGCCAGGACTTGGCCCTTCTTGACTTACGCCTGAATTGTTGCCACTGCCCAACATAGTCTATCTTTTTCCATGATCCCCTTTCTTAGACCTTTCTCATACCTGTATGCTTTGGTCAGACTAAGCCACCTAAAGTCCCACTTTTATCCTATCTATTTCTAAGTTCAAACCTTTAAACTAGAGAAAGTACACCCAAATGTCCCCAGAGGTTTATCCTTGGACATTGTGATGGTGTGATGGTAGTAATATATTTATTTTAATTAAATAATTTCATTATGTTAAAGGGGAAATATGTTACAACTATAGGTTGACATTACAGAACTAGATACATAATAAAGATAAGCACACACTGTACTGTATAAATGTATAGCTCAGACTTCATTGTTCCAGAGTTGGGGAGCTCTCACTGGTCATCTGACTGTCCCTAATATGCAATTCTCTTTTTTAGAGGCAAACCTTTGCATAAAAATTTATGTAAATGTGCTTAGTGTTTCCTATGTCTTTGTAAACTTCATTATTAGTATTAAAATAAGTGTACATGATAAAAAATGAATCAAAATACCACCAAAAGATTTAGCAATAAAAAATTTTCTCTCTCTCCCAAGGGTAACCATTGATTAAGGTGATTTATATTTTCTTATTTACACTTTACACTTTTCTGTAATTTAAGACTTTTAGCAATGCACATGTATTGCTTTATAATAGCAAATAAGACCAATAAAGAATAATTTTAAAAAGAAACCAAATTTTCCACCATTCCCTGCTACTTATAATATAAAAGCTGAATTCTTTGGCTGAGGCCATATGTAATCTGGCCTCAAACTGCTTTCCGGGCTTATTATATACTATTCAACACAAATGTTCTGCTTCAGTTAAACTATTGTAAACACTATTTCCCTGCTGTGTCTCTAACTGTGTGTTTTCTCTTCCTGGAATGAGCTTCCCCATTCTCTTTTAATATCCCAATTCGATCTATTGTTGAAGATCTAAGTCAGTTCTACTTACTGCCTTCCTCAAAAAGGAAGGAATCGGTATATAGCAAGTATGTACAGCGTGGGCTCTGTACTACATTTGGTGCTTTACTTGTTATTCATTTGAACCTCCAAACAGCTCTGGATGGCTTGTATTAATTACTTTCATTTTACAGATGAGGAAACTAAGTGTCCCTCCCGTCACAGAGGCAGTATGCAGCGGGGCTGGAGGGTGGAGCTGGCTAACTGTCCCGCCTCTGCTCAGTGAGCTGTCATTTTTTCCAACTTTTGTAGCACACATCTGAGTAAGCGGGACCAATGATCACTGAAGTGCATTCTAAGATTGCTTATACTGTTATTTTGAATGCCTTGTATTTTGTATTTTTGTTACTTTGAATGACTTATACTTTGTATTTTTGTTTACCTTAACAAAACTGCCTGTGGGAGAAAACTAGTATGTGAGTTCTAACTTGCTATTTCCTAGCTCTGTGTCTAGCTCTGGGCTAACTCTTTAACCTTTCTTAGCCTCAACTTCCTCCACTGTAAAGTAGGAAAGATAATAATAATACCTAACTCTTAGGTTGTGAGAGTTAAAAACTCAACATATACTTTGTACAAAGGATCTAATTGTTGTGTGTTTGACTGAACGTGGCAATATTAGTTTATTTTCAAATTCCATTTAATTTCTAGTTTCTTTATAGGGTTTAAGATATTCCTAAAACTCGGTGACCTAAAGAAGATCAGCTTTTTATCTTCAACGCATTAAAAAAACCGACTTTAGGGTGGGGCAGGGGAGAGTGACGGGGGGGAAATGGGGACAATTGTAGTTGAACAAAAATAAAAACAAAAAAGACGCTCCACAAAAACCAACAAACTGATTTTACACGAAATGAAAAAGTACTTTTGTGTTACGTGATCAGAATATCCTGTCTTGCTGTTTAATCAACACTGAACAAGAGGTTCAACTGAGTAACTTGTTAAAGACTGTTCCTAAAGGTAAATGCTCACTAAATTTATAAACCAGAATGTTGTTAGCGAATGTTGTCATTGCTAGTCCTGAAAGCCACCGAGAACTTTTAAAGCTGAGCATATCGAGTACCTATATGTACTTTGAAAATGAAAAAAAAAAACCTACTTAAAAATCCCCAACCTTCAAAAATAGACATCATTTTTTTTTTCATATTCTTTATATCAGAGAAAAAAAGAAACCACTGTGTCCATTCCAATTATTTTCTTTTAGGATCAGAGGGAAAAAAGCGCAAAATTCGCAAATCCATTTTAGCCATTTATTTGTTTTCAGCCTTTTGAAAGATGAATATACACACCTGATATTAGAAATGATCATTCTTTTATCCTTAATATTTTATTTCACAGTTATTAAAAAGCTTGTCAAAATAACCTGGACAAAACCCCCAAATGTGTGTTCTACACGATATGGAAAATAAAGTTTGGGCTGTAGATATCAAAAGTCCATCTACAACTTTACTGAATTTGTGAGTGAGAAATTCTCATTTCTCAGGGTACTTCTCTAATACCTGTTTGTTATGAATTGTTCGATTAAAACAAAACAAGCTGGTCATCAGGGCAGTGGGATCTCGTGGGGTTTAAAGGTCCCACACCTGTCTGTAGCTAGGTATTACCCTTTTTTCTCCTCTTAACAGTCCAGTTTCTTGAAAGAGTAGTTTCTATTCTACTGCTGGTCTTTTTTTTCCCCTTCCTTCTTATTCCCTTTTCAACTCACCGAAATCCTGCAGAGGCGAGATTGTTTTCAGTTAAACCACTCTCTCCACAGTTACTACGGCTGAATCAAATAAAGTCTTTTCAGACCTGTCTAGTGGGACTTCTCTAAGCATTAGCTCGCTGGAAATATACTCTTTCCTGCTGAAACTCTCTTTTCTTGGCTTCTGTAACAGCCCTGTACAGCACTGCTTTCTTTCTGCTTTTCTAGTTTCTCTTTCTCAGCCTCCCTATCAGCTTTTTATGGATTGCCTCTTCCTGAAACATCAGGATTCCCTTGGTTCCCAACAGCTTTTTTCTCTTACTCTCCCTACATGATCTCATCCACTGGCCATGGCTGCAATTAAATATGACAAATGGATCCCAAATCTTTATTTCCTGCCCAGACATGGCCTGTGAGCTTCGGACCCATAGATGCAGCAGTCTACTCCTCCAGGGGCTCCATAGGCACCTTGAAGTCAATGTGCTTAAAATCCAACTTTCCACCTTTCCAACTGCCATAGTAAGCAGCACTATTATCTACGCATTTGCTCAAGCCAGAACCCTAGGAGTCATCTCTTGATGCTGCCTTCCCCTTGACAGTTCAGACCAAAGTGGTCACCAGGATTCTTTTGATTCTAGTTTTTAACCCCTCTTGAATCTGTCTTCTATTTATATTTAATTCTCTAATTTATACAAGTGTCTTTTACCTTGCTTTATGTCCTTCCCACCAACCCATCCTTTATATAGCAAAATGCAGATCTGATCCTGTCATTTTTCCTGCTTAAAATCTTTCCTTGGCTCCACCATTGCTTACCTTGAGTAAGGCCTGACCCCTTTGGCACGGCTCACAAGGCCTCTGTGATCTTGATTCTGCCTGGGTGTGTAGTACAGGCCACTCAGATCCCAGCTCTTTCATTCCACTGTGCACCCTGGAGCATGTTAACTGTAAAATGGAGGATTAAATGATGTAATTTTCAATAAATGTTAGCTAATATTTTAAACTATGATTAATATCTTTATTTATATGTCTTTGGGAAATAGTACTATTATTTCCTTAAAATAAATTCTTAAAGTGGAATTGCTGGGTATACATTTTTGAAGACTTTTGAAAACATATTGCCAAATTGCCCTGCAGAAAAGATATACCAATTTATACTGTCACCAATGGTATTAAGAAGGCCCAATTCTTCACACCGTTGACCCAATGCTGGGATTAACCATTAAAAAAAAATCTTTGCCAAACTGATAAGTGAAAAATCACCTAGTGTTTATAACTTTTGTGTCTATTTACATATTTGCCACAGAAAGATCAGATATACACTGAAAACAGAGAGTGTATTGCTGTGTACCCTATCTTGGTTCTACGCCTCAATTTGACATTGAGGTTTGGCATCTCTGCCCAAGATGGATTCTATGTCTTTGAACTCCATTACGTCTCTCTTTCCTTCCATTTCTCTAGGAATAAGCACGCCTCTATTTGAATAGAATCACTGAAACACTTAATTCCTATTTGACTTTTAAGCACTATATTTGGTCCAGTTTCTTCAAAGCCTTTAGATGAGGAGCACAGGGGAGATTTGGGAGACATGTTTCTAATCCCAGTTTAGTCGTTACCTAGCTGTGCATCCTTGGGCAAGCCACTTAATCTCTCTGGACCTTCACTTTCTCTTACGTAAAGTGAGTGGGATGGTACCAGGTAATGTCTTAGGTATCTTCTAGTTCTTACATTACAGAGGTAAAATTTTTCTTCCAGGAAGTTCCTTTGGAGGCCAAAGGAACTTCCTCTTACTCTGCTGTAAATACGTACTGCTCTCTTGCAACACAGTGTCACCTCTTTGAGGCAGAACTTGCCTCTTTCCAGAACTATGATTCATTTGTATGGTGCCATGAGCCCTAGGACAATAGCAGCAACTACCACCCAAAACGCACAGCCAAGACTTAAGTGGAAAGTAGGTCACAGTTATTTTGTGGATAACAAAACCCTTTGAAAAATCTGTTGAAACCTAGGGACTTGCTCACAGAAACATACACATAAGTACGTAGGCATAAAACTTTAGGGAGTCCCTAGACCCTCTGAAGCCTATTACATATTACCTACAGATCCATGAATCCTCGGCTAAAAACATTTGATTTGGGGATATTAAAGGGAACCCTGGAGGTAAACCAAATCACCAAAAATGTTTCCTTCCTATTGGAAAAGGGTGTTGCTAAATGAAACAAATATTTATAGAATATTATCAAAACTTTTAAAACCCAAAATAATCATGCTTACATGCTTAAGTCTTTTATAATAGAATGCAAACTCCTTACCATGCATTACGAGGTTCTACACCATGGTTCCTGCCCACCCTTGTTTTATACTTTTGAGCTCCACTGGCTCTCTCTTGCCCTGGGAACACACCAACTTTCTCCAAGTCAGTCTTTCTACTGGAGAGTCTCCCGGTGATTTGTTTCCTCTGCCCAGAGGACTTCCCTCGTTGCTATCCTTCAGGCCTCTGTTCAAATGTCCCCTCCTCATGAACTTGTTCCCCAACCACCTTTGTACCTACCCTCATCATTTGCTAGGCACAACGCCAGTTTTTCCCCTGCATAGTCAATCTTGTCACAGTCCTGGTCATAGTTTATTTGTTTTGTTTATTTGCTCTCTGTCTTCTCTCCCTAGAAGAACGTTAGTTTCATGAGGGAAGGTGCTTTGCCTCTCTTATTTATATCTGCATTCCCAGAAAGAGAGGCACGGTGCCTGCACATACTGGGCCTAGGCACTTGATTACCAATTGTTAAATGAATGCTTAAATTTCAGCCAGGGATGGATTAAAACCTTAAGAAGGTCTCAGCACAAAAGATTATGTGTTCCTCCTCCATTTAATTCTAATAAAATTTTCTGTGCCCCGCCCCCATATTTAACTCTAATGAAAAACAATACTAAATTAACCATACAGTTACATGTACTGAAGTGAAAATAGCTTATTTGTAGATTAATGATCTGATTTAAGGCCTTGGAGCCCCTGTTTTGCTGGTGCTCTAAGTGGAATGCATTTTGTCTGCCTTCGGAGAACCTAGCACTCACTTGTCCCTTTAAACAGGCTGGAAGTTTTAGGTTAAGCAAGTTTGTGCCTTGCAGCAATTTTAATAGTAATTGTGTTTATCTCTAGATCAATTTGGGAAGAATTGACATTATTTATTATATTGCTTCTTCCAATCCATGAATGTAGTATGTTTCTTTAGTAATTTAGGTCTTCTTTAATTTCTTTCATCGGCGATTTATAATTTTCAGCATATAGATTCCATACATGGCTCGTTAGATTTATACCTAAATATTTAATAGTCTTTGGAACCATTGTAAACAGTACTGTGTTTTTAATTTGTTTCTACATGTTTGTTGTTAGCATATGTAGCTCTTTTAGTAGAACAAGGGGAAATGCACTGTTTAGTGAGTTAAACTTGTTCACTGTTAACTTGGGGACTAGTAACAATCTATCCTGATACTCAAGTACCTCCATAATATGCCTCTAAATCCCTTAAATTTAATCTTATTCTTAATCACTCCACACAAATCTCTACTACTGTTAGAAGGTCCACTCATCCCTTCATCTGAATACACCTTATTCACTCCATCTCGAGTCTCTGCTCTGCCATTTTCCCCCAGAACAGTCCTTCCACTGAGCCATTTCCCCCAAGTTAAAACTTAACTATACTTCAAGGATGAGGTCAAAGCATTCTTTGGCAGAGGCCTTCCCTGACAAACCGTACGTTGCTCCTTTACTCAGATTCTTTTAACCAATACTGTATGCCACTCAATCATTCATTTAGTTTTGAATTAGTTTTAATCTCTATCTTGTTTTCCTAATTAGATGATATACATTAGAAAGGCTCCCATGATGGCTATCATAGAACCACAATACTTAAAAGGCACTCCAACTTAATTGTTGTAGAGATGTAGAAAGGGGAGAGGTTTCGAGATGTGTCACAGGACGGGTGCTGAAGGTGCAGCATGTACAGGGTATTCCACTAATTCTGAGTCTTCCCCCCAGGCAAGCTCCATGCTCTCCACCACTAGGACAAGGATTCTCTCTCATTTCCTTCCTTCCCCCAAATCCCAGACCCTCCGACTAAGTAGATTCGAAACGCAGATCTTTCCAACTACCCCTTCAAAACTTCTAAAACTAGCGGGTCTATGGTTAGATTTTAAGAAGTTTTTCTAGAGCTCAGATAGCCCATGGAAGTTGCAGTAACATTTCCTGGCCACCAGAGGACAGGGAGCAGCGGGAAAGATTGCTTCCCCTTAGCAGGAGCTTTAGAGGTCAAAGGCAGAAGTAGAACGTGGGCTCTCCACCTATAGCTTTCAGGCTTTTTTTATTATTTATTTATTTTTTTAAAGTAATGGGCTCCTTTTCCTCCTCTAGAAGATGGGCCAGAAGTTCCCAAGGGCTTACCCCAATACTAACCTTAAATGATTATCAATCATAATGCACTTTAGTTGCAAGACTTAAAGGCAGAAAAGTATGGAGATGTTTTATCTTCCTCACCCAGACCAAACCTGCTTTTCGGTTCTTGAGCCAATTAAAAAAAAGTCCTTTAGGGAGGGCCCAAATAGACATTCCACACCAAAGATGCCGTTGGGGGCCAATGTCCCAAATGTAGTACATTGCAAATGGAATATTTTAGGAGCTAGATTATTCCTACACATAAATTCTGGCTCGAGCAGTCCATTTGCAGTGTGCTTTTCCGTCATTAATCACATCTTTGTTATGTGATATCCACGTGAGTACTTCTTAGTAGAAGCAGCTTCATGCTCAAATGCTCAAAGAACACTGGAATAAAGCCCCGATTGTCCTATTCAGTGATTCCAAGTCCTGGTTTGTCACCACCTCAGGTCTCTAGTTCTTCAAAGTGTGTAATGTGTCTCAAAACAAAGGCATTGTAATTAATCCACATAAAAAATGCACAAAGTGCATAGAGTTAAATCGCAGGGTCTGGCACCTCTCAAAAGACAGAGAACCTCTAGTCTCATTTAAAGATGATTTTGTACTGCCTGATGCAGTAAACGTTTTTACAGAATTGTTAACTACTCATATTCATTACATTTGTAAATATAAATAAGCATAAGAAAATATAGGCCAAGTATAATAATAAATGTTAAGCACATTTATGTGGAGGCTTTCAACGACAAACAACAGATAGCTGAATGCCTGAAAACACCAGTGTAATTTTTCTTAAAATACCTGTAACTTCTCTTTCCTAACAGATGGTAGTGCCTTGCATTTTGGATTCGTCAGACTTTTTTAAAGTGACTGTAATTCTCTCAAATCATTGTTTGCGTTTCTTCAAGCTGGTGAGGCTGCTGGAAACAGCTCAAGAAGGAGGAAAAGGCTCTGGGTCTCGATGCGGGTCAAACCCTTCAGTACCTGTTGGGGCGCAGCCTGCAGGCGCGCAGCCGGGGCGAGGACCCTGCGGAGAGGGGTAGGGGGCCGGTAGCTCGGGGGCGGAAGGAGGCCGCGCGGCCGCCTCCTCCGGCAGCCCCGGCTCCTCCCAGCGGCGCCAGCGAAACCTGCCTCCGAGTCGCGGAACTGGGGAACGGAACGTGACCCGACCCCTCCCCGCGTGGCCGGAATGGGGCGAGGAGCAGCGCTGCGGGCTCAGGGCTGGGCGGGAGGGTGTGCGGCCCCGCCCGGCGCCCACCGCCCTGCCCTCGCCTGTCTCCTCCTTTCCCCCCGGGCTCCGCTGAGTTCATTCACTGGGATTGGTTTCAAGTGACGCCATCTCTTTATTTTTAAACCAATGACCTCATCCGCGCTTGAAGTTTCCTGACCAGCGACTCTTTCTCTTTTCCCCCCAACCCCCCACTCCACCCCCCCTTTCCCCCTTTTTCTGTGTATCACTGTTGGGGGGGGGCTTTAGTCAGTTTTTAAAGGATTATTATCACCCCTCCCTCCCCCTTTCACGTTCTCCACGCGGCCCCCCCACCTTCGCCTCCCCAACTTTTTCATCCCTTTCAACATTGTTTTTTCAAGGCTGACTGGGGGTGGGGGGAGTGAAGAAAATTTGCAAACGTCTCCTTTCTTCCTAAGCCTCCCGCCCCCGCCCACCCCTCAGAGAAGAAGATAATATAGTGAAAAGAAGACAAGAAGAGCGGACGGGACGGACGCGAGCGGGAGCGCAGCCGCCCTCCCGGCTCTGCAGCGGCGCCTCGAAAGTCCGAGAGAGGCGAGGGGGGACCGAGGGGTGACGCCGTGACAGCCTTCATTTCCCCCACAGGGAGTCGGGAGGTCAGCGGGCCCCAAAAGTAAGTGGCCTCGGACCGGCAGCGCGGACTGTGCGGGCGGGAGGGTGCGGGGCTCGGGTCGCCCGCCCGCGCCGGTAGCATGGACGCTCCGCGGCTCGTCTCCGCGCCGGGCGCCGGGCGCCGCGCTCTCGCCCCGCCGCCTCTGCCTTCCCGGGCGTCCGGGCCACCTTTTGGAAAGGTTGGGCGGGGGCGACCGCGGCTCGTTGCCACACGAACGTTTGAAGCGGGGGTGTAGGCCTGGCTGGGGACCGGGCCGAGCGGTAAGGGGGCCGGCGGCCCGGTGCGAGGACTCGGTCCGTGCGGGCCGGCGGCCGGGTCCCGCAGCAAGAAGCAACCACTGCGGGTAGCTGCGGCGCTTGCACGGGCGAAGCCGCTCGGTTCCAGGCGCGTCTGTTACACAACACGCCTGCCAAAGGGGGCCCCGGCCTGACTGTTCCTATTATCCCAAATTCGCCTTTGGTGTAAGCAGCGAGGCCACCTAGGTGGTGACGGCGTTCCTTTCCTAAACCGAACTAACCTAGCGGCGACTCAGTTTTTCATACTCGGGGTCCGAGTCATGATCCTGGGGGACCTGGTGCCCCGCTGACTTCTTTATTCACACTAGTCATAAAACGTGAGAAAAAATAATAAGAAAAGAGCCTTGGGTAGACAACCGAGGATCTGTTTATCATGTGTGGTTTTATGTAATAAAACACCAGGAAGAAAAATATTTAGGTAAAACTGGAGTTTACTTCCTAAAACACACGCGCACATATCGGTAATTAAGGAGAAAATATAAGTGGATCTTAAAATGAATGGATACTGCAAAATTCTAAACAGGATTATTAAACGTTGGCCGCAAAGATCCTGAAGTCCTGGGTGTCTGAAATTGTTCGCAGAAAGCACACCTCTGACCAGCCTGTGATGGATAAAGTGGGGAGGAAAAACCTGTTGCATAATCTCATTTGCCGTGGGATTTGCAGTGCCGTCCCCCTTGAATGAAGGGGAAGTGCGTTAAGATGCAGGGTTTTAAAAACTCTCTCAAGTTTTTATTTACCCAGTGCCCTGGCTGCCACTTCTGCTTTAAAAGACTGTAAGTAAACTCTCTGCTCTTACAAGTGAACCAAACTTATCAAACCTGTTTAGAAAATGAACAGGTATGTTTCTTTTCTTTCTTTTGAGAGAGAGAGAGAGAGAGAGAGAGAGTGTGTGTGTGTGTATGTGTGAAAAATTTACCATGCACGGAAGACCTTTATGTCTACAATTTGGGAAACTGAAGGCTGTCAAAAAAATACCTCTTTCTGCCACTCATTTAATGGGGCTGATTGAGAGTGTACCTAGGTAACAACTGTTTCCTCAAAGGATTTGTACTCTTGTGAACTTCATCGAGAAAAGAGATTTCTAAAGAAGAAAAGAATTCTTACCAGTTGAGTTGCGTTTTAATAATTTACTTTTCCTCAAGAATCGTGTGTATTGGTGGGCACACAGTTTGGGAGACCACAATTAATTAATTAATTGGGACTTCTGGAGTTCTCTGTTTGGTGAAGGCAGCAGCCTGGAGAAGTAAATTGAAAAACTAAGAACTTACTGGTCTATGTAGGTATTTCAGTCAAAATGTTACTAGGCACAGTGAAGAAAATTTAAGAAGAAAAAAATAAAGTTGTGGAATTTATTGAGTATTGTGGACTGTGTGAAAGATTGCTGTTAAAAATGCTTGGGGTGGTTAATATTTAACATCTTATGTAAAAATTTGGGCTAAAATACACCGGCTCAAAAGTTGATTTTTAGGTAAAATAATTTATACCTACCAAGGATCTACATGGAAGAAAAATTTTAAATGAGTTCGTTCTTAATTCTGCTGGTAATATGGTGACAAGTGTATGGAAAAAAAGTTGTTTCAGGCACTATAAATCTACATTCAGATGTAAGATAGCTGAGTACCTGTAAAGTAAGGAAAAATAGTCCAGTAAAATTGAGGATTAGGGGTCTCTTTGGCCGAAAGCTTAATGGCAGTAACTGAAAATGGGGGCAAAAGAGAAGATCCTGTTAACCCAGTCCTTTTTCTTATACATTTCAAAGTTATTTGTAGAAGCGAAGCAGAGATGAGATCTGAGGTGGATGCAGAGTCTAGGCCGGGATCCTAAGGGCTAGGGTTGGTGTGTGAGTTTGTTTGATGCTATTTTCTGTAAATGTCTGCATTCATAATTAAATTCCATAGAGCTCTTGGTCTGTGGGATTATGTATTGATGAAGCTGACTTACATAGCTGTCCAGTATTCATATTTTTCAACCAGTCATAATATCCTACTCAATACAATTTGATGGAATTACCAGTGTAATTTATCCTAGAGACCCAGCTTTTCCTGGAATATCTTTAAAAAAGTGGAGTTTTCTATACTGCGTTGTTTGGACTAAAAACTTCCCTAGACGTTTAATGTTTTTAGAAATGCTTTGTATTCAAGAAAATAGTACTTTAAATTGAAGAAGTAAATTAATATAGGAAGTCTGATTTGGATCAGAATCCCAAGAAAAGGGAGAAAATATGTCAGGGGAAACAGAAACCAGATTTTATGACAGATTGAACAAACTAGTTAAAAGGGCTTCATAGAAAAAAATCACAGTTGATGCTTGATGGGCTTTTTAAAAAATTAACTACATCAAAGTTGAAAACCAAAACAAGTTATCTACCATCATAAAAGAAAATGTTGCTAACGTTGGCTTAAGTAAAAACAAAATTAAATTAAATCTTGTTCAAAGCCACAATATGATATAGTCCAAAGCCAGATGTCATTTTCTTCTTGATTTTCTTGTGTTGTAGGTAATTTGATATTTTTGTACATTTCATTAGCCCAGATGATCATGGGTTGGCTATGTGAAGAGACGAGGTTCATAAAAGGTTGCTGGGTTTAGAGAAGCAGGCTCAGGCCTTATGAAGATGCCATTCTTGTACGTAGACTAAGAAAGGGAGTTTAAAATGTAATCAAATAAATGATTGAACTGGATGAAATAGGAGTGGCTCAAAAAGAAGTATATAAGGCAGACTACCAAAGACAGGTACAAAGAAATAATGAAAGCTTGCCAGGGGTATGGTCAGTAGAGAAGGAAATGGGATACATCTTGGCATAAAAGGAAAAAGGCATAAAGGGAAAAAATACCCTCCTATCCCTCAGCAACAAGAAGAAGGTAATGAAACTTCACCTCTTTCTTGATTGAGGTTAGATAGATACAACCAAAAACTCACAAGACTCTTTTATTACACAAAAATTTTAATCTTGGGGGAGGTACGATGGACACATTATGAGCATAAGTTACAATTGTTTTAGCACGTAAAACTTGAAATTGCCAAAGACATTTAAAATAGAGGGGGACCCACTATAATTTCAGTTGAGTAATTGGAAAGGAAGGGATAAGTTATAAAAAGTTGAAACAGTTAATTTATTTCTAAATTGATAAATATAAATTAATCAACCCAGAATACTTACTAATGAGTATTTTTTAGTAAAGACTCAAATACTGAAGTGGATACCAAAAGTTGGAGATCTGGGTCCATGCCTTTAATAAGGACAGGATTGTTAGTGTTTTAAGGGAAGTATGTATATATGCAAAGATAAAACAGTTATCAGACAGCAGGGAAGTGCCAAATTCCTGGTATAAAGGAGAATGAGATTGGAGGATTAGGTGAGGTAATCTTCATAGGGATAATGGAATTTGACCTTGGCTTTAAAGTGTTGTCAACATGTGTATGGAGGAAAGGAAGCAGGGAAGGTCAAAGAAGGAGGCCATTTAGCCATCTCTTCATTCAGCAGATTTATTTGGAGTCTGTATTATGTGCCAGGTGCTGTTCTGGGAACTGGGCATAGAGTGGAGAATAACAAATTCTTTACCTTTATGGAGCTTACATTCTAGTGGGAGAAGATAGAAGAACAATAACCAAGTAAACATTATGTGGAAAATATGATGTCAAGTGGTGATGTTTTGTGAAGGTAATAATGAGCAAGGTCAGGAAATTATAAAAGGCTAGTTATAGTCCCACTTATTTTGTGACAAACCTATTTTGCCTATGATATACTGATAAACAGTGTTAATGATATAACTTAATATTTATTTGCAGTTGAAACCAATTTGAAAAGAAGTGTACACATTAACTTCATCTTTAACCAATTTTTTAAAAAAGAAACCTACAAAATGTTTTTTAAACTGAAGTATGTAAGCTTTGAGTTTTTAACTCATTAACAATTTATCGACTTTTTTTTTGCCGCCATTTGCTAAACTCGTTTTTGCAGTGAGGTTAATATCATTGTTTACAGTTTACTTAGGGTTGTGATGTATCAGGCTTTGTACTTAGATTCTCCATTAGGAACAACGTCCCAGTAG